CCAAGAGACACTGGAGGAGAAGGGAGGAAGGACTTCTCCCACTTTGCACTTTAGCTGCAGTAAATGCAGGAGCGTGTTTATAATGAAAACAATGACTGAAGGCTCAAATTCAATTTTATTTAGCTTTTTCAAAACAGCTTGTTTAAAAATTAAGTTTTTCACTTATCCTACATGTAGTCGATTAAATAAGACATGTTTAGTGTCCAGATGTTGCTTCTTTAGCATAAGGGCTAAGGGGCTAACTTTGCAAAACTAGAAGTCAATAGTCACTTAAATCCTTTCTGTAAATACATCGCCCAAAACTTCTCTTGACCCACATCCAGGTCTGTGTTAAGGTTGCAGAGACTTGTTAATGTAGTTTCCGACACAGTATGACTGAAGAAATGTAGTCGTAAGGGCTGTAACTAGGATCACATTTTTAGTGAGGTCCATTTTGCTGAAAAGTGACCTGCATCTCATAGTGAATAAACTAACTGTCGAAAATGGGTATTACACCAACTGTAAGTTTCATCTTCAAGGTTTTACCAAATATTTGCTCCTTTTTTTAACCATCCATAACTGTTATGGACCTTTTCATTAATTGCTATTACGCTTCCATAAACATATTTGACTCCAGTTGCCCTGTTTAAGTTTATTTAATTACTCGTTTAACTATTTATATGTTTATTTTTGGCTGAAAAAACGTGTTGAAACCTACACTAAATCAAGTGATAGTTTCAAACTGAATTTATTTCATTTACCCCTCTCTCCCTCTCGATCTTTGCTTGTCTCTGTTGAATCTCTGTCCTCATTGATTACTGAAAAGGCACAAATTAAACATGTCATAAAAGGCTGTCTGTACCAAATGAGGCAAAATACAGCCTAATGTACCTTCTGATTCCTTAATAATGTTAGCTACATGATGCTAGGCCATCACTATGCTGGTTAACAGTGAACTTACTCATGCTGGTTGTTGTATGTTATGAGTCAGTAACACAATATAACTTTGATCATCTAATCACTAATGTAGCCAACTACAGAGCCTGTAGCCTAAACTGAGCAGCTTCTGGAGCCAGACTAAAGCATGCTGACTTGAGTTGGCCATGTTACGAGCTGTTCAAACAAATAATGAAATATAGGTTTTGCATTTTCCAAGCGTAATGTGTTAATTGTGCTCATAAACTCTTAGCTAGCTACATTTTTACCATAGCAATGTCATTTGTTAGCCTATAGCACGTGTGCTGCATACCTGAAAATCAAAGTTACTCTGGTAACGTTACTCAGGGCAGTATAGCAACTCATACAGAGATAAACAGAGTGGGCAGTTAAGTCTTTGGCTGAGCCACAGCTGTTCTAAGGTCAGCTGACAACCAGTGACTGCTCACTGGGTAGTTTTGTCACTTTTTTCCACAATGAATCTCATAAAACCCTTCAGAAATATCTGAGGATTCCTAACGCTAGTTACAAACATGACAGGTGCTGGTTACTGAAGCAATTGCGGGTGGCAATGGATGGTTGCTAAGCAGTTACTGGAGGGTTGAGAAAAATAAGGCAGAGCTTGGCAAATTTTGATTAGCCAGAGTAGACTGACAGTGCTCACGGAAAACAAATCAAATTTCATATAATAAAAAATAATGCATTGTAAATATGCGTTCCCCATTTGATTGGGTGGTCTGTGACACTGTGGCTGTGGCCCTGAGTGGACTACTGTATTATCATGATGGCACTGTTTCTACATTTAATCTCATGGATAGAGAAAAGTGAAAAAAAGCATTCCTTCTGAAACTATCAAGGTCCGTACCTCTGTGTCCTCATAACTAGTTATGGCCATGGTAGCCCTATGATACAGTTTGGGCACCCCTGGTCAATTTTTTTGAATGAAAGTGAAAATACATCAATCAAACTAAAAGTTGCACTATACAAGTTTTAGGGATTTGGAGACCTCTCTGGTGCAAATGTGTAATTGTCAGAAGAATATTAAGTCAGAAGAATATTTTGTGTTTTGGCCCTTATTTTCAAGTGAATAAATGTGATGAGTGAAAGAAAACTCAGTCAAACCTGGGCAAAGGACACATCTTCCATGAATGTGAGTGAATTATGTACTATTGTCAGTAAATCTTCATCAGTATAATATTCATTTACATTTGAGACATAAACATCGAGCTGAATCATCTTAAGTCTGTGCATGTAATATTAATACTTAAAGACACATGGGAGTCTGAAAAACTCTCGACCTGACGCCTCTGAAGGAAGCCAAGATGATTTGCCTTTTTTATTTTATTTCTTTTTGATCATTTACAGCAAACAGAACGTACCATCATCTGCAGTAATGTGGTGAGAGATAATGTTGCACATATAACTGACACATCAAAGCTGCTCACCCTGCTGTCTTTCCTTCTGGACTAACTTTATGCAAATAAGCTGCGTGGCTGTAAATGAGCTGAGGTAACTGATTGTGTCACATCCACAGTCACACACTGAGATTCAACACTAGAACACACACAGCAGGAGATAAAACAGTTGGAAAAAATGAATGTATTCAAAGGATAATTACATTTGATGGCTTCTTAAAGTTAAAAACTGCATTAGCAGCTTTGTGGTACAGAAATAGCCTGCTCTGCAAACGCGTTCCCCTTTCACACCTCAACATTGATTTAGCATGCTGTAATGAAAACATATTGTTTGTTTAAATGTTGCAGATTCTCAAATTGAAAAATTTGATTTTGAAAATATCTAAATTAAAAATATCCACTCTAAATCAAGCACACATAGGCCTTTAACTACATTCAAATCATTTTAAAGTTCAGACCTTTTTATTGGTATTATTATTTTTTAGCAGTAGCAGTCAATCTTCCTGTGTCCCTGTCTAGTTCATTCTCAGTCTAAAGGCTCTGGAGTTGCTGAAGCCGATAAAGTGCTGTTCTAGCCTCGTCATTGCTCTTCCGTCTCAGCGCTCTGTCGAACAGCTATACTGATCTGTGTTAGAGAGATCAGAGATATTACAATTTTTTTGAGCATCGAAGTGTAATGATAAGTCAGGTGGTACGAGCAGTGCGTCTCCCCCTAAAGCGGAAATGAAACGGCTACTAATACTGGTTTTATCTTTGCAATGTATTTTTGTCCGTATCAAAGAGATGTTCTATATAGAACCACCTACAGCACATTCTACATCAATATCAGAACCCTTTCATGATGCATTCATGCAAAGGATTCTTTGAGCATTCATGGTTCCATATAGAACCATTTTCTTGGAGAACCATCTTTTTAACAGTGTAGTCTATGTATGAACTCACAGATGGAATAAACGCCCTCTGTTCTGTTGTTATTTTGCCGTTGCTGTTTTTAGCAGTTACAGTAAAATAATCCTAAAACTGGCAAGGGGGTGGGGGTGTGGGTTTCACCCCTACTGTCCAAATCACTGTCCTTTCTTGTTGATCTGTTTAGTGTTATTTTTTTAATAGAATTCCCTTTTGTTGTGTAGGAACCTTGAATTTGACAAAGGCACTATAGAAACTGGAATAAAATGGGACAGAATGGCCCACATTCATCAATACTGAGGATGATTTTTTTAACTTTTACATTCTAATGAATACGCTAATATCAGCTGATTCTGGGTCAGCGCTTCTCTTTGGAGATGCTAAATAACAACAGTGTAGATGGGGTCTGCTCTACCAGAGTTAAGTAAATACATTATCAAATGTTGGATTGCAATATTGGTTAAATCTTAGTATCTGTCCACTAGCGGTAATTTTTGGCCAATTATCTGTGACACTTTTTGGAGTGGTCCTTTGTAGATGATTAATAAACTCTTAACAGATTATCAGTAACACATCAACAACATATCAGTGAAGTAGCAGTAGTGAAGCATCTGAATACATTGAGGTAAATATCTTAAAGATGTGCTGTTGATACATCACTTACATTAAGTAGATTAAGTAGATGTGTTGTTAATATGTTACATGAAGCAAACTTCATACATCACTTAGATTCCGCAAAACCTAACCTTACCCAACCCTACCCTAAAACATAACCATAACACTGGCCCTAATACTAACCTTAACTTTAACCTTAACTCAAAACCTAATCCTAACTTTACCTAACCTTAACCTAAACCTTCACTCTGGCCCTAAACCTAACCCTAAACTTGACTTCAACCTTTACTCTGGCCCTATCCTTAACCTTAACCTCAACCCAAAACCTAATCCTAAACTTAACCACAACATAATCCAGTTAAGCTCCAGGTACAGAATGTTGTCAGTGTGTCTGTAACAGCTTGTTGAGGATGTTGAGATGGTCAGTATTAAATCTGTTACATATTCAGTTCATCTCAGGTTAAAACCTACAGATATGAACTTGGACACCAAATAAAGTGAAAAACAACTGAATTCGGTAGATTATAAACACATTTTATTTACAGTTAATTAAAAGTCTCTTGATTATCTTCTGAATGTATTCACTGCTGCTACATCATTGTGATGTTGTTGATGTTACTGAGTGTCTGTTGAGTGTTTATTTAATCTAAAAAGAACCACTCAAAATAAAGCATTACCCAGTTATCTACCCATACTAATGGAATTCCTATGTCCATAACAGTATGTTACAGTGTCAGAAACCACATAAGCAAGTCTATTAGAGATAGGAAGAAAGCCAAGGAAGAAAACTTTGGACATCAAACAAGATCGGCTGCATTTGGATCAAGATAGGAAAATTTTGGAAATCACATTTTTCACTTTAACTGCTTCACCCAGCACTCGACACTCAAGTGCTAAATGACCTCTTTCTTCAAAATTCAATCACCCAGCTTGCCTTCTAGCACGCTCTTCTCAATGTAATATTTAATGTGAATTGCTCAGCATTTTAAACCAGTCATAAAAAAGAGCAGCTGATTCAGGCTGATTTGCACTGATTAAACAGCTCAGCTCCGTGAGTGTGAAAGACAGCTGAAGCAAGGTTTTCTGCTGATTCCTGATTCTAATCTCTCTCTCTCTTTCTATTACTCTCTCTATCTCTCTGTGCTGCAGCCATGGGCGTTCTGATGTCCAAGAAGCAACAGGTGGAGAAGGTGCAGAAATGCAGCGTGGTGGTCTCCGCCTTTCGAGAGGGCCTGAAGAACCAGTCCAGCTCTGTGCAGGCCCACAACGGTGCCGAAAACGCTGGAGACGATGCTCCGGAGCAGCCGGACGCGGAGGAGTCCGGCCGTAAAGAGGATGAGGGGAAACCAGGTCCGTCCTCGGCCCAGCCTGCCTCCGCCCCGCCTAGAGAGGAGAACAAGGCCAATCAGGAGGCCTGGGGCCGCCTCCGCGATGGAAAAGGGGTGGAGCCAGAGGAGTTAAAAAAGGCACATCAGCTCACTCCCCCAGCGTTCGTGAGGCCGAAAAGGCAACCCAACGATGACCAGCCTGTACTGATAGAGCTCGGACAGAGAGAGCAGGTAAGAGTGCTGCACACACATTTTTTCCACTTAGGTCCAATTTTATTTGGGTCTGGGTTTATGCACCAGCAAACAATCATAATTAATTTTAACACGATCATTTTCCAACCCCTCTTCATCCTTTACAATTAAACAGGCTTTTTTTTTGTTACTGTGCCTTTAGAACTGATATATGTGAATGACCTCTGTCCTCTTTGGCTTATCCTTACTGTGTCTTGTTCACAAAAAGCAGCCCGGGCTAATACACCCCATATAAGTGGCTTGGGCTAAACTGCTGCTGGCTGAATAGGTAGATATGTGCAAAAGCTTTGTTTTTGGTGACATCATAAAAACAGTACATTTCAAATGGGCTGTTTTGCAGGTTATTTCTCATTTTTGGACTGCAATGACTAAGGAAAGAGAACAGTATGATGTTTTTAAAAAGTTTGAGCCAATTCCGCATAATGGTCCATATCATCGCTGTCTAAAGGAACACAGGCATCTCCAAAATGGTAACTTTACAGGAGAGGGCAAACACCCTTAACTTTAATGAAAATTGATTGATTTTGGGGCATTTCTATTGGTCCAATCATCATGAAATTTTCACACAATGTAAAGAAGAACTGCCATGTTCAAAAGATGTAGAAAAATAAAAATGGACAAAAGTGGAGATACATGTTTTTTTTGGACAGCAATGATATGTTTGGTCATCTAGGCTCCTTATTAGTTTTTAAAGGGGAACCTAAGCATGCTACAATTTAGCATGAACTTTTTTGCATGTTTTTAGGTGATACACAATGTTTAAGGCTGTATTGTGAAAGGTAAAATGATGTCTGCAGAGTTGACATTCTCCCTTCTGGAAATCATTGTTTCACATTTAGACGTGCACCTACATAGAGTATTTTTTCCTGTGATACATCCACCTTGCTGTTATTACACAGTGCATGACTGTACATTCAGTAAAACAGAATGATGCTGATATTCATAAACAGATTCAGTAGCTGTATGGGCCAGGCTTCTATTTGCTGGAATATCTACAATTTTAACTAGGAACTGTTCAGAATAAGGCCAAAAAAGCTTCTTTGGAGTCATGCCATAAAACACTATTTCTCAGCCCTGGTCCTGGAGGCCGACTGTCCTGCACTTAACACACCAGCTCATTAACAGCCCATTACTGAGTTAAAGTGGCTGTATTAAGGCAAGGAAAGCACTAAAACAGGGGTCGGCAACATGCGGCTTCAGAGCCGTATGTGACTCTGCGAGAAATGCGAGAAAAACAGCTATAGCTGAGCTAAAGCTTAAAGCAGAGCAAAGTAAGTCTGTTTTTTCATTTCTATTATAATTTTTTAGCTTACACTAGTACATTAGCACATGTTATGACATATTTACAGCCAAGATGGTAAAATGTTACTTAAATAAAGAAACATAAAGGGACAAAACGGCTCTTCTTAACATTTGGGTTGCCATCCCCTGTTCTAGAATGTACAGGACAGTGGGCCTTCAGGGTCAGGGTTGAGAAATGCTACCATAGAAGAAAGATTTTTATCAACGAATGGTCTATCAGTGGTACTATTTTTATAAATGAGATGCTTAAAAAGTGCAACAAGCCCTTTTAAAGTCTCCAATTAATATGAACAACCAGGGCCAACTGGTTTTTGCTAGAACCAAACATTATGTTTCAAAGAATGTAATTCACCAGTAAAACTAATTAAAAAAATATGAATGACTGACTGAATGAATGAATGACTAAATAAAATAAAGTAAAAATAAAACAAACAAAAAGAAACAAACAATTAAGGTACAACAGTAAAAGAATTAAAATTAAATAAAACAGAAGCAATAAAACGTTAATAATAATAATAATAATAATAATAATAATAATAAAGTTACAGGCTTTCTAAAGGTGGTTGGAGTGTAGTAAATTCCAGCTCACTGCTGCTCTGTAGCTAAAAGCAGATTTTCCCAGTTCAGTAAAAAACCTCAGCACCTGACAGGTGATCCAATCACTAGAGTAGGTTGTGACTCCCGTCGTACTGCTAGTGAGGACCAACCAACTCTTTCATACAGTCTGCAGTGATGAGTGTTATATGGGTCTCCAGTAGTGAATCGCAAGGCAGAATGATATGACTGGTTAGTGGACTTAGAGAAGACAGCTCCAATGGAGACAAAAACAAAACAACAGTAATAAGAATAAACATCAAACCATAAAATCACAATCCAAACAAAGCCCCTGTCGTGGACGGGATGCCATGGCAACAAACACAGATTTGCTCTCTTCCTCTTTTTCACATGCTGCTGTCAGACTCATCGTTCTCTTAACCTGTGTAAATGTCATCTAGTGCGCAGCCCAGCGAGCCGATCCAGAGCCCTGATTCACATCTCACCCATCTGAGACCTTCTTTCATGAGAGGTACAAAACGCGCGTCAGTCCGGCCTTTTATTCCCACACTGATCCCAAACGGGCCCAGCGCGCTCGGCTGCGGGGGCGGCTCTGTTTCCTCAGACCACTTCAGTCTTTCATCCTCAGAAAGTTAGAGTTGGATTCCAGCTCTCTGTTAAAGGGTAACTTCTGCTTCATCGGCAGAGCTGAGTGACCGTTACTCTGTTTCTCCTGTTTACTTCCAAACAGTCTGTGGGCGGAATGAGGAGAGAGAGAGAGAGAGAGAGAGAGAGAGAGAGAGAGAGAGAGAGGGAGAGAAAACAAATAAAGAAAGAGTGAGAGAAAAAAGAGAGAGAGAGAAAAGAAAGAAAGAAAGAAAGAAAGAGAGAGGAAAAAAGAAAGAAAGAAAGAAGGAAAGAAAGAAAGAGAAACAAAAGAAATAAGAAAGAAGAGAGAGACAACAAATAAATAAAGAAAGAGAAAGAGATAGGTAAAAAAGCAAAAGAGAGAGAGGGAAAGATAAAGAAAAGAGAGAGACAGAGAGAGAGGATAGAGAAAGAGAAGATATTGAGAAAAAGAACAGGGAGAGAAAAAGGCAGAAGAGAGAGAGAGAGAGAGCGAATGAGAAGAGGATATGAGAGATAAGATGGAGAGAGAGAAGAATGAGAGAAAGATAAAAGGGAGAGAGACATGATGGAGAGAGAGAAGAGGGAAGTAAAGAGACTGAGAGAAAAAGGCAAGAGAGAAAGAAAGAGAAAGAGAGAGAGACTTTGACCTGAAATCCCCTTATTTATGCATCATTTAGAGAAGAGTCGCAATTAAGCAGTTAAAAGAGAAAAGAGGCCGGAAGAAAAACAGGAAAGAAAAACAGATTTACCTACTTAACCTACTTATCTACAGCTCACCTGCATCATTACCACAAACAGAACATCCTACAGCAGAGAGAGAGAGAGAGAAACAGAGAGAGAGAGAGAGAGGAAAAACACAGTGAGAAAGAGAAAAGGCAAAAAGGTGAAAGAGAAGAGAGCACGCAAGAAAGAAATTAAAAGAGAGAGCATGACACACAGAATAAGAGAGACAGAAGGAGAAAGAGAGAGAGAGAAAGAGAGAGAGAGAAAGAGAGAGCACCTTGAACTGAAACTGAAAACTGAAAAGAGAAAGGAGCGAGAGACAGGGTCAAAAGGTGAAAGAGAGAAGAGAGCGTGTGTAAGAGAAATTGAAAGAAAAAGAGTGAGAGAGAGAGAGATAGAGAGAGAAAGAAAAAGAGAGAGGGTGAGAGAGAGAGAGAGAGAGAGAGAGAGAGAGAGAGAGAGAGAGAGAGTGGGCGAGCGCCACTAGGGTCCAGCTGATTAATTCGGGTCAGTGAGGCTGACAGCGTGCTGCTGGTTGAGGACCCTCCACACTGAGGCTTTGTTTACTCAGCCGCTCTCTTGGCGGCAGTGCGGCGCAGGAGAGCGGAGAGAGAGGCTCCTCACTCTGCACTCGTTTGCTGTGAGCGTTCACGCTCACTCAGAGGGTCTTGTGAAGTCGATGGTAAAGGTGTTGGGCTATTTAGTTGGAGAGCTGAAAGCAAATGGATAGTTATGAAACAGGACGCCAAATCGTACAGTAATAGTACAGTCAAAGTACAGTAATAGTACAGTCACAGCACAGTAACAGTACAGTCACAGTACAGTCACAGCACAGTAACAGTACAGCCACAGTACAGTAACAGTACTGTAATAATACAGTCATAGTACAGTAATAGTACAGTCACAGTACTGTAATCAGTCCAACAGTAACAGTCACAGTACAGTAACAGTACAGTACAGTACAGTTCCAGCACAGTAACAGTACAGCCACAGTACAGTAACAGTACTGTAATAATACAGTCATAGTACAGTAATAGTACAGTCACAGTACTGTAATCATACAGTCACAGTACAGTAACAGTCACAGTACAGTAATAGTACAGTCACAGTACAGTCACAGCACAGTAACAGTACAGCCACAGTACAGTAACAGTACTGTAATAATACAGTCATAGTACAGTAATAGTACAGTCACAGTACAAAAACAGTACAGTCACAGCACAGGGTTGGGGATAGTGGGGGTGGGTGGCTTAAGTGAGCGGCTGTGGTTAGTTCAACACATTGTTACAACTCAGACTTGCAATGAAAATAAGTCAATATTCCCCCTATATACACTTTATACACTGATTCATCAAAAACATACTATAGATGTCATTTATATTTTATTTTATTTTTCTGATATTTCCTCTTATTCTGGTCTAAAATAAATCTGTCAATGTTTGACAAAGCCTCTTTGCACTAATCATATTTATTATGACAAAAATATTCATCTGTATTTATTTTGAAAAGCTTGTCTGGTTCAAACATCAAATAACTGCATTAAATTAATTATGTTTGTATCCATTTACCAGACTCAAAGGAGAATTTTTCAAAATTTCTGCATAACAAAATGATTAACATTTAAACAAAGTGTGAAATGCTCCGTTCTAGAGAGACTTATTCAGTCTGAATTATTCACAGTGGTGGTAATAGGAACCAGACGTTCACCTCTAAAACCTCCCTCTGAGAAAGTTTTTACACAAAAGGGTTGCGAATATGTTGCCTTATGTCTAAACTGTTGTTTAACGTAA